AGGGAGGGAGAGAGAGGGGGTGGGGTCGCTGGTGGAGGTGAAGAAACAGTGGAGAGGGATGAGAGGTGATAAAGACAGAAGAGAAAGAGAAAGGGACTGGAAGGAGAGGAAGGTGGAGAAAGGCAGGGCTGGAGGGAAGTGACTGCAGGAATGGGGTCCTTTCTGGGGTGCAGTGTCCATGTCACCTTGGGCAGGAGTGAGTGTTGCCTGGTGGGGAAAATGGAAGCAGCCTAAGGTGCCTTTGCTGTGGCTCACTCCCTGTTTCAGCCTCTCAAACACCAAGCTCCCCTTTCCCTCAGGACCCCTGCGCATTCTGTTCCCAGGCCTGTGGTGCCCTTCCCTGCACTCCCCTGCTGCCCTGTCCTTCCTCCTCCTTCCTGGGCGACCACACCATTCCCAGGGCTGCCTGCTCTGACTGTCCCTGCCTTGCTGGCTGGCATTCATCTCTGCTATGATGCCCTGTGTGTTCACCTGGGGTCTGTCTTGAGGCATAGCTGTCTTGGTTCCGGTACAGCCTGAGGCCACCAGCAGAGCAGCAGTTCCTCTCCACCTGGCATTCTCCTTTGCAACAAGCAACTCTCGATTTGCAGAGTCCTGGCTTTTGCTGGGTCCAGTGCCACTGCAGATGCTCAGAAAACTCCCAGAGCTGGGAGGGTACCTGGCTGGGTTCTTTCGCTTCCAGGGTGTCTGCAGGGTTCTTCCTTCCTGTCTTAACGGGGCTGGCTGTGGGCGCAGTGATGTCTGGAGGGCTTTGGGCTGGTCCTGGAGCCATGCACCTTCCAGGGTGCCTTGTGGAGATGTAGTACCCGAGTCTCGGAGCCCAGCTGGAACCCAGGGCCTTCGCTGAGCTTGTAAGTGTGCCAACACCAGCTCCGTTTATGGAGCATGAAGGCCAGGTACTGACCGTGTTGCGTAATCCTCATAAGTGACTGCCAAGTCCATTCCTCAGATGAGGAAACGAAAGCACAGAAAAGGGACGACTGGCCCATTCCACACAGGCAGAACTGAGGTGTAAACTCAGGCCAGAGCAACTTCCTGTGCCAGCTCTGTATTTTCAACCCTGAGGAGATGCCCACAAAGGGGGTGGGAATAGCAGGGGTAACTTGGCTCAGTGGTTAAGATCCCAAGTTCTAAATGAGGCTGTCTGAGGTTCAGATCCCAACTTCACCACTCATTGGCCTTATGACCTTGGGCAAGTTATCTGCCCTCTCTGTGCCTCAGTTTCCCTTTCTTTAAATTAGGGACCAATAACAAAAATTGCACATCTTCTTTGAGATGCCTGGCTGCTTAGCCAGAGGATTTCCTCACAAGGATTTTTGGAGTTATCTCTAAAAAACATCATGTGCAGTTTTTTGAGAGGTCATCAGGTCATGGATTTCTGACCCTGGGAGGGCAAAGACCCTGCCTCTCCCCCCCAACCTTTCCCCTCATTCCTGGGACAGTGCCTGGGACATGTGATAAGTACACAAGAAACGTCTGTGGGCCTGAAGAGTGAAAGCTATACAGCCAGGGAGGTCCTGAGACCCCCCAGCCCCCCTTCCCCAGCCCCCCATGTG